TGATACTCGTAGATTACTAATTCAATATTTATTAACACAGTGAGTGAATAAGATGTTACTTAAATTCACTCAGACATGACTGGACCCTCAGGTCTTACTGTACCATTGACAAAACAGATCCGCAATTACTTATTAATTCATTAAACACTTCAAGTATTTATTACACCATTTAACTACTTCAATTACTCACTACTTCATGAGACAACTGTTGTATTTTTTCTCTGACAAGTAAGATTCAGGAGTTACTATTCACGAACAGATAACAATGGACCCTCAGGTCTTACTCTTACAAGTAACAAGTTACATCTTCAATTCTTGGTTAAAACATTTAACAATCACTATATTGTTCCATTGTCACTGCAAGTGGGTATTATGACACACTTGACACTATCCCGAATTTAAATATTCTTTATAACAACAGGTTACTTCGGAATGACTAACGTGACACTTTAACTAACATTCCGTGGTTTGGTGGACTCAACTCCGAGAATAACAATAACCCTGGTACCACCAACATTCATGGATTCAATACTTAACCTGGGATGACTATATTTCTGCTAGTCATCCCCAAGCATGGATATTAATGCGGCTCCATACATATAGCCAAGAACAATAGATGGACCACGATCACAAAACGGAGTCAGCTGGCCAAAGTTGTTTACAGGCTCGCTCGGTAGCCCGGAGCGCCGGAGGACGTTGACTCGTGACAGACTCGCAGAGTTGTCGATGGCGTCTCCAGAGGAATCTCATCCTGGGATTATAATCTCGCCACCTAAAAGACATCCTTCGAGAGCGGCTCCCGAATTTCAGTAGTGTTGCCAACACACAAATAGTGCCTGGAGATGCGTTTGAGGAGAAATCACAAGAGAGTGATTTTCCTCCTGCCTCGGTATATATGCGAGCCTGAGGGCATATCCCTACCAGAAAGACTAATTTTACTAACAATAGACCTTCTATTCAAAGTGGTCGCTGGACACCTAGCTGTGACCGTCAGTGTCACATATCAGGTTAATTGTCTATGTCTATCTTTATGATCTAATCGGAGATTAGTTTGTCAGGAAAGAGGTGAAATGTAGTTATATACGCACTAGCAACTCTACTCGCCCGACCGCAGACCACATTCCAGGTCAAAACAGCAAAAATCTCGGAGAATTTTGAGTTTGACAGAAACTGTTCAGTATATTAACGACTTTCTAAAATAGACAACTGACACTAACTAAACTATAAACATCAGATTCCCTGATGTTTGGGCGACAAAATAATATAACTTCGGTAGCGATAGGAAATTCCGGATAACCCCACGAAGGACATAAAATATGCCACTCTAGCTGGCAAGCTCGACACTCACTTACTTGACAAGTTTTACTAACAATAAGGACAGTTGAAGCTTCCAACACCACTCACAATGGATCTTGAATGTTCCAACTGTAAACAGACATATCTAGGTTGCCTTACCAATTGCAACCACAGTTGCAATTTCAAATTGTGTCATTACTAAGGAATAATGAAGTCTCGGGTGCATTCTAAGATTGAGAGAAAACAGAGGACTCAGGCATCCTGAAGCAATGAGAAAACGGACTCCTCAGATGGGGAACCCCAATAAGAAAGCATAGCTACATGTTTTGTGGGCTATTGAGAGTAATATGAATTGTCTGATTTTACGTTAACTGACGTGTATGACCGTGGTCATTACAAAGCTTTCCCCTCCCAAAAATTCATATTATGCGGTATAGTCAACAAAACATTCACAGTAAATACATAATTTTCAAAACACAACACCCTTTAATACTGGGGTAATGGTCAACAATACAGGTAACCTACATGTTACAAAATTTTCACATACATAAAATTTTTCACCTCAAATGAATAATCTACCAAAGCAATACTGGTCGTGACACAGAGAAGAACATAACCATACATCAATGTTATAGAACATAATAATAAAAAAAACAAGCTAGCCGCATTTACATTTTTGTACATTTTTAACTACAACATCCACCAGGATGACAAGTAGTTTCCATCTAGGCGATTGATCAGATATGTATGACACTGGACCCAAGCACAAAATTCAACAATCGAGATCTCAAGCTTTGAGTAGATAGACTGACCCCATCGAGCCACTGAGGTATGCGGGTTGAACTTACCACAAAAAGGATCATTCTCCACTCAAGAGACGAGGCAAGATCTAAGCGGCCAGAGCTCATGGACACAAATAGACTATAATGCAGGCGACCCGGTCCACATGATACCCCCAAAACCTCCAGTGCCCTTCTGTACTTCGTAATGCAAGTGTCTTCAACTGCACTAGGCCCATATACTGCTGTACACTCCTAGCAGTGACTAAAGTCCAGCACAACTACCTCCTACACAAACCCAGGCCTACTGCAGATAGGACCTCCAAGCGAACCTGATCACTCACACCAAACGATGTTCTCACTGCAGTAAGATTTATCTATTCACTCCTCTTATCTATGCTACATACTGACAATCCCTTCACAAAAAGTCTCACGCTGGCCAAACTTGAATGGCAAAACCAACAGTTGATGTTCATCAACAACACATCCAAACAAGATGTAAGTGCCCTTGACGGCAACCGAGAAACGCGACCGCCCAACTGGGTCTGTCACTAAAGATCCATATGGATCATTGGTCTCCTACTCCTCCTTGAAAACTTAGCTGCAGGAACTGCCACTGGGTTCCCGTGACTGCCCACACACTCTCTTTCATCCTGTTCTGAATTTGATAAAGAATCAACAGGTGGTCACATTTACTTTTACTTCTACAGTGCCTTTCACATTCAGCTCATCCCCGGTAACAGCTTTGTATTTGTACTTACAAGGCCTAATGGGACCTATGCCTAAGGTATTGACAAAACTTAGAGAAATTAACTGCACTTCACTGCCTGTATCAATTAAAACTGTACAATTACACCGTCCCACCGGCAAGTGTATGAAAGGGAAGGACTTTCTCAATACTCTGGCTAACCTGTCTGACTAGGTTGTAAAATCACTAGCCCACACTATTGTAGTGGATTTCTCCCCTACAAACGCTGTTTGTTGCTGAGTAGCCGACCCCGCGAATTCCCCAGTGTATGCCTCTTGGTCTGGGTCAACCAGCGCCGCCATACATCACGGAGGTCAACTACTAAGCCACGCCTACCCCCGCTATTTAAGACCTGACCTCGTGGGGAGGAAGGCTAGATCTAACCTTCGTCTCCAGTGCACTACAGCCTTCGGCCTCCTGGCAGATACACCCCACGCTGTCCAGCGACCACTTCGCAACCCTAACAACGCTGAAGGTGAACAAACTCCCCACTCCACCCCCCCCCCGAGATGGAGATACAATA